AACTGTGGATTATTTTGGGGTCTTTTTCCCAGCTATGCATTATCTCCGAATACCACTGCCACTGAATTGGTCAAACGTTTTCATAGCCTCCATTCCTAAAATCTCAACTTTTCTGAAATCTGACCACATTTGTTGGACACAAGAGAATGAAATTATCACGTTTATCCTCTCTAAACATTCTCAACAGCCCCTCGGAAAGTTGCCTCACAAACATGCCCTTGCTCTAATCTTAGATATATTGCATTTTATATGCTGACTCATTTGTTAATTACGTGTGCATTATTGCAGTTTTCTTTATATTTTTGTCAGCATGAGACTTGTCTGTTTAAATCAGGGTCCATCACTTTTATTATTTTTTTGATTAATGTCTAATTTTAAATGATAATTGTTCACTTAATAATAATTGCCATTGAGAGCAATGACAATATTTCACTGAAATCTTCGGTGAATGAAGGTTTTAGGTTTTGAGTTGAATCTAAGGGAAACAGCACAGGTAAATGATGTTTTCCACCAGTGCCACATAGACCACTCTTGGAAAAACATATTTATAGAGTTTTCTGACAAGCACATACATAAATAGATGGGAAAATGAATTTCCCACCTGTTGAAAGTACCCATGTTCCCCCACTCTGACTTTTATCCCAGGAGACTTGTACCAAAATCAGAAACAAGAACTGGAGTCTGACTGTCTTTCAACTACTCTAACCTGACACCCCAGATTTCCCTCCCAGTGGCACCCATGATTATCCTCTGTTAGCATGCTGCTCCCCTTCCCCACGACACTGCTACTCCAGCAAGCATTTTTGAGCAAAGCGCTGCTTTATCCAGACACTACAAAGCCACACCCAAAACCTAAAGCAGTGGTGCACACATGGGAACCTTAATTCAGGGACGTAGGTCCAGTCGTCTACAAGCTCACCGCTGTAGTCCACAGGGCATGTTCCTTTACCAACAGAGGCCTTTTGGCTTGCCCACTCTTCACTAATGTATTACTAGAAATGGCCGAATCACTGCTCGGTTCCATTTTATTACACTGAAAAGTACAATTTATGAATGTTTCAGACATGAAGGAAACTGAAGACAAAACTAACAGATGAATTTTCAACTATCATTCACTGAACTCCCCTGAGACATATGCTATATCGAATATTCATATTAACATCAAAGGACGTGAAGAAATTAAGTCAGCCCTAACTATCAACTTAATGCTACTACAGAAGAACAAAAATGAATTATGTAATTACCCAACATGTCATTTCGAAGATGAAACCCTTTTGTTTGATTTTACAGTTAAAATGTTTCTGTTGGGTTTTGGCTTTTCTCCAAGTGATGCTGTAAATCCCAGTGATCTAACTGATACTTGGTAAGCATCTTTGAAGTGACTATTATTAAACAATAAGTATAGTATGTTTCATAAGCACAGATGCTGAGCTTTATTATATCAAAATGATGTTACTATGGAACTATATTCCTATAATGTAAGCACAAAAATTTTAACTTCTATTACAAATTAATAAAGGCAAATAATAAAAGATACAGATTACCGCCAATACAAATTTCCGTTTTTCAATAGGAAACTTGAGTTATTTATTAATCATTCAAAAGTATACATTGAATGTGTACTTAGTGCCAGGAATCTGGGAAAACAGATAAAAATTTCCTGTCTTTATGGCGTTTTTAGTCTAATGAGGGAGATATCCTGAACATAAAGCTTGCGAAGAAACAGACATGCTAGGAAGAAAAATAAGAGGAATCAGTGAGAGCATATAAGAATGGGCACATATGTTAGTTTGGAAGGACAGGTATGGCCTCCCTGAGGACTTGATTAATTATAGTTTCATCCTGAGGATGAGGAGGGCTGGCCAGATGGAAAAGGGTGAAAAAGCATTCCAGAAAGAGAGGCAGCTGGACAAGGATGCTGAGGTGGGAAAGAGATTGGGGCCTCTGAGGAACTGTATGGGTAGAACAGAACAAGAGAAGGGAAAGTGGCAGAATATGAGACTGGAGAGGGAGGCAGCAGCCAGATGACCAAGGCCTGGAAAGTCAGAATAAAGTAATAGGAAACCATTGAAGAGCTTCCCAAGGAAAAGAAATGACCTGATTCTCTGTGCTGCTGTGTGGGGAATAGATTGAAGTGGGCACACCGGAAATCAAAGAGAGTAATTAATAAATTACTATGGTGATCTAGCTACTATCATGGCAATGATATGGAAAGAGGCAGGTCATTTAAAAAACATTTTGGAATTAGAATCGGATTAAGTGGATGGAGGCAATGCAGAAGAGGAGAGAATCAGTTTCTGACTGGAATGCCTGAGTTGACGGAGATACCACATTTTGAGGTGAGAAAAACTAGAAGAACTGGGCTGGGAGTAGGTCAAGTATTCAGTTTTGGACACATTGAACTTCAGGTACCTATGAGACAGCCAGCTGGAAATGAGACTTAGGCAGGCAGATCAATAGTCCCAGAGCTTAAGAAACAGGTTTGAACTAGAACATGTTTTTTTATTTTTTTTTTATTTTTAAGAATACTATCATGGAACGGTCTTTACAATCTTCAATTGCTAGCAATGTTATTATATAGTTTGTTTAGTTAATATGAGACCAGACATGGTTACCAACTATTGGGTTGTCGGAAAAATCATGATGTATTTTTTCTCTGTTTTTCATTGCAAAAATGCGTCATGACTTTTCCGACAACCCAATAAATATTTTTTTTCGTATTCAGAGCACATCATTTGTAGCAGACGGATGGTGTTCAGGATAAGCAAATATGAAATGTCTGCCACTTATAAAATTTTTACTTTAAAAAATTTGTTATTTAAAAAATGTATTATCTAAATAATGTGTAATTTTTATAGTTAAATTTTATATAAGAAAAAAATAAAATTAATTATAATCCCACTGCACCATTTTTTACACACATGTACTTCTAGGGGGAGCTAAAAAAGTAATTGAAGGGAAGGGAGTAGACAAATGGTCAAGAAGGATTCACAGCAATCAAGAGAAGGCTAGGAGCACAACCTCAATAAAGATCTAGAAGCACAGTTTCTTTTTTGGTCCCAGGTGGTCCAGGAGCCACAGGCTTCAGTGCTGAAAGGGCCAAGTCCAAGAACCACACCATGCACTATCAGTCCAGAAAATGGCACAGAAATGGCATCAAGAAACCCAGATCACAAAGATACGAATCTCTTAAGAGGGAGACCCCCAAGTTCCTGAGGAGCACGCGCTTTGATAAGAAGCAGAATAAGAAGAGCCTGAAGAAATGCAAGCCAACACCACCAAGGCCGTGAGTGCACAGGCTGAGGCCATCAAGACCCTCATAAAGCCCAAGGAGGTCAAGCCGAAGATCCTAAAGGGCAGAAGCCACAAGCTCAGTCCACTTGTCTATATCACCCACCCCAAGCTCGGGATATGTGCTTGAGCCTGCATCGCCAAGGGTCTCAGGCTCTGCTGGCCAAAGTCCAAGGCCAAGGTTCAAACCAAGGCCCCAGCCCCGGTTCCAGCTGCAGCACCAGCTCTGCCTCCAGCTCAGGCTCTGGTTCCTAAAGGTGCCCAGGGCCCCCACTAAGGCTCCTATCTGCCGGTGTGAGGACGGAAGGACTGGTGTGACCCCTGGGCTGGTGTCTGCATGGGGCTAGTATCCTTCTGTGCTGTTTGTACCAATAAACCTGAGGGAG